ACCAACCGCACCTCGTTCGCCTCGAGGAAGGGGTTGCGCGCACGCACCGCCTCGTCCTCGTCGGCGCGGAATGCGTCCACGGCCTTCTTCGCGGCGGCGACCTCGCCCGCCCGCCCGCGCAGTTGCCGCTCCACCGCCGCGAGCGCCTCGCGGTCCTGGCCGGGACCCGCCGCCACCACTGCGTCGCGCTTGGCCACCAGCTCCTGGAACGCGGCGTCCCCCGCAAGGCGCAGGTCGCCCAACAGCACGCCGCCCACGCGCCGCGAGAGGAACGGGCAGGCGCGGTGCTCCTCCTCCGTCGCCCGCAGCTTCGCAGCGCCCAGCTCCAGCACCCGCTCGCGCAGCGCCCCCTCCGTCGCGGCGATTTGCTCCGCGTGCTCCACCGGGTCGGCGCGCAGGCCGTCCAGCGCGTGCGACAGCACGCGGAACGCGGTGTCCTCCAGCAGACCCACCTCCACGAGGGCGACGCCGGGCGCCGGCTCCTCCGGCAGGTACGGGTACTTCTCGTGCAGGTTCTCCGTCTCCACCAGCGCGCGGTGCCGGGCCTCCGCCACGTCCTCCGCCGCCCTCTTCGCCACGTCCCGCATCGCCCTCTCCAGTCGCCTCGCCTCCGCACCGCCGGCGCGGTCGGGGTCCTCGCACAAGGCCGCGTGCCTCGCAAGCAGCGCCGCAAACTCGCCGTTGCTCTCCAGGTGCAGCTCACGCAACGGCACGCCAAACGGAAGCTGCCCCAGGAACGGCATCCGCTCGCGCAGCGCCGCCTCCTGCCTCACCACCGCCGCAGCCAACTCCGTGGCCCGCGCCCTCAAAGACTGCTCCTTCGCCGCGAGCGCCTCCGCGTTGTCCCCTGGCGCCGCCGCGAGCACCGCGCGCTCCTTGGCGAGCGCCACAAACTCGTCGTCCTCCGACAGCCCCAGTGCGCTGAGAGGAAGCCCGGCGCGCACCACGCCCTCCAGGTACGGGTGCTGCTCCAGCAGCCGCCCCTCCGCGCGGGCCTCCGCCCTCGCCGCCTTCAGCTCGTCGGCGCCCAGCTGCTGCATGCGGCGCCTCAGCTGCTCCTCCACGCACCGGATCATCGGGGCATTCGCCTCCCTGTCCTCCGCCTCCAGCGTGTCGCGCAGCACCACAAGTTCCTGGTAGTACGCGTCCAACCCTGAATTCGAATCCTGCTCAAGCCCACCGGCAGCTGTTTGTGTACTATAACGTATTGATTCGGACT